TATTTTGTTTTTGGTGTATTTTGTTTTGTTTTTAGTGCATTTTGTTTTGTTTTTCGTGTATTTTGTTTGGAAGTCGGTTTTGTTTTTTATAAAAAGTTTTATTTCGTCGCTTCTGCTCTGTTCACATGTTATGCTGTTTGCGTTTTTGGATCGAAGCGAGCGTGCGAACGAATGTCAATCGTGTACAAATATTTAAACTGTTTTACTTGTAACTAACGTAATACTAGTTCGATTTTTGTTTTCTTACTATTTTCACAATTTTCACTTAGTTATGTACTTTAAAACACTTAAACTTCACTTTGAACCATCAAAAGCAATTAAAAAACACAGTGCTAAACAAACGTAACGTCTGTTTGTAATATCAAAAGAAAAATTCCAGATTTCGGGAAGATCATGTATTTGCGTTGCTGATAACGAAAATCGCATTTAATTTTTTTTGTCTGTCTGTCTGTCTATCTGTCTGTCCGCAAGCCGCGTTTGTTCCGGGTAATCTCTGAAACGGCTGGGTCGCTTTGACCGGACTTTCTATGAAGGGTAGCTGATATAGACTGGTTATTTTTTTATCTTAATATTGCGTGGACGAAGTCGCGGGCAACATTTAAAAAAGATTTGGATTTTCACTTTGATCGCTAGACTGAAAAACAATAAGCTACAAATGCAATGAGAATACGAGCTATACGTTCGTATAGATCGTATTTTCTCGAGCTATACGAATACGTTTCCGGATTCGTCAGCATAAAATATGAAAAAAATATTTTAATTGGCATGCAGACGTTTCAATTACAATATTAATCTGGTGAGTAATCAATCTATCGAATATATCAGATATTGTCACATAGCTAATTATGTTTATCAGTATTATATTATTTTTAGTGATTCACGTCATCATGATCAGTGTAAATATTTCAAAATGTACAAATCCTCGTCATTGTATATTCGTTACTAGCTGTTGCTGTTGACACTCCAATGTTATTACATGTATAGATTTTTATTTGGCGTGGTTCGTGCCATATGTATAATAGCTTTTCCACGCGATTTCCTCAGCGTAGCATTAAAGAAAAGGACACGAAGTTCTTAATTAAGTAAGCAAAATTTTAATAAAAGGATAACCGCCTGCGTCACCGGTTGCCAACAGTCTTCAGTTGTAAATGATCCAAACCACCAAAAACTAACTTAAGTGAGCAACAGCGTTAGAGCCCGCTTTAACAACTTCGTACGAATGAGCAAGCTCGCCTGGTGCAATACCACGGCCACTCAGAAGACAGGCGTGAAGTGGTAGCAATTCCGCGTCCCGTCAGATGAGTGTGGTGCCGGAGGCCCAACTTTAGTCCCTTTTCCTTCCCACCCTTTTTTCTTATAAGAAGAGGATGGATGGGAAAGTGGTTTTGACGGTGGAGGAGACGCATAGAAAGGGGAAATATTCTGTTTTTACCTGCTTCCACTTGCATTCACCTACAAATCAGATACAATTTCCAGAAACCACCCTTATTGAACCTGATCACCCTAAAATTCCCTGCTTCCACATAGTCCATGTGTTACTCCAGACTATATTTTATTACTATTTAAAATCTCAATTAGGTAAGTCAAGCCGTTGCGGAATTATCGAGTAAACACGTAAATCACAAATAACTGCCCATTCCTTCGGAACCCGACATTTTTCGCCGATGTAAAGTATCACACATGTTGTTACAGACTATGTTCTGTACATATCAGTACTAAATTTCAGTAAAATATTTTTAGCCGCTGCGGGGTTATCGCGTTAACATGTAAATAAGAAAAAACACATATCCTCGGGAACCTAACATTTTTTGGGATGAAAAGGATTCCACGTGTTATACCATACTATGGTCTGTATCTTTACAAAATCACAAAAAGTCGTTTAGCTACTACGGACTAATTGTGTAAATATGCAAATAACAAAAAACTACCTCGGGAAGCTGTCATTTTTCGGGGATGACCCTTATTCCACTGTGGTCCAGACTTTGTTAAATATATGCCAAATTTCAATAACATAAGTTGAACCGTTGCAGATTTATCGAGTAAACATTAAAAAGAAAATTAATGTATCCCACGGCAACCGTAACTATTTCCAGGATAAAAAGTACCCTATGTGTTCTTCCAGCCTATGTTTTCTACAAACTCTAACAAACATCCATCCATTGATTTAAACTTTCGCATCTATAATATTTAAAAAAAGTAAGTACGAAGTATGATTGGCCACGACTCACGACTTCGTCCGCGTGGAGTTTAAAAGTTCAAAATCTACGTAATGGACTACTACGGTGATGCAACCTGCACATGTCGGAGAAGAAATTCAAAGATATGTGTGAAGTCAACGAACCCGCAGTGGCCCAGCGTGGATGACTATGTTCTAGTCACCCTAACTTAGGGTAGGCTCCGAGCCCCTCAGTGGGGACGTATAGTGAGCTGGTGATGATGTTAATGATAAATCTACATAAAAACAGAAATCTACTAATGAAAGATTCCAAATTTCTGAGCCCGGTAGTTTGTGAGTTGATTTTTCGGTTACCCTTATTGTTTGTGTTCGCGATATCATTTGAACTATTTGTCCAATTTAAATACTGTAAAGGACAATTTTATTCTCCATTAAATTCTCCTGACAAGAAACGCATTTATTTGGATAAGGATTAATATAAAAACCAATAAAACAACCTACCGGGAGTTTGTGAGGTGATGTTTCTGTTACACGCTGTTTATTAATAGTTCAAAACATTAGTAATAATAAAGATACAGATATCATTATTTTTTGTGTATTTAATCATTTTATATTTACTTAAGTATTAGTCATTATGATTTATCTATAATATAATACAATAATGATATATCTTTTATAACTCCGCGTACAGTCTGATGAGTGTGCGTGCCGGAGGCCTAATTTTAGTCCCGTTCTCTTCCCAACCTTTTTTTATAAGGAAAGGATCAGAAAAGGAAAGTGGATTTGATGGTGGAGTACATGCATAGGAAGGGGAAACATAATCATTTTGTGCGTCTCCTCCTTGAGGTTAAGCAAAGCATTTGCAATTGCGGATGTCTATGGGCCGCGGTCGCTTCTCCATTTTGGCGGATTCAGGTGACCACCTGCTTGTTTGCCAACATATTTTATATAAAAAACATACCTACTTGAAAACTATTACACAGTAATAATAATAATAATAATAATAAGCCTTTATTCAGATAATTAATGTCACATTACATAATTGAGTTGAATATTGATACATTATAATATAAATTTTA